CCACGTTGACTACAATTAACAATCGTACCCATTTAATTATAGCTTAGATATCGAGCATAATTCGACCGTAAACGGCACATCTTTTGAGTAAGTAAACTCGTTTCCAATGTGAGGGATCATAAGTCAACTCTAATCCTTGAATGGCAGGATTACTGATGCCACTCACAACGCTACCACCTGGCTATGTCAAAAATGACTGACGGCTGTAATAAGTAGGAATGGCTTTACTGTTAGCGATGGTGTATAAAATTTGACAAGAGACAGCTTGCGTACAATATTCGATGCGTTTGTCCAGTCTAGTGACTTCTTCTAGCTTTCAAATCAACTCCCCGATAACATCACAAATCAGGTTTCTGCTGGTAGAGATTTCGTTCATGAGTACTTTTCACCGCAATACTGACTACGTTATAGTGGTGACGCGAGAGCTCAACCCAAAGGAGTGCCATGAATAACGTCCAGAAGAAGAGGGAGGTTGCGTAGTACATTGTTTTCTAGCTCTCAGTTTTTAGTAATGGACCACTTAGGGACTCTTCCATTGAATTTTTACCGGGTAGCCAAGTCTTTAGTTATGCCAGTAGGCCCAACCCCTACTGTACCTCGGCAATGCAAATTTCGTCCATGCATTGTGTCTGCTCACGTCGCCAGGGAAGTCCTGCGATGCTACAAACAATTCACCTGCCAAGAAGTAGCCACATGAAAGTAGCAAAACACGCTCATGCAGTACGAGCGAATAAATTTAGCAAAACTTCTGTGGTCTTCTAGAAAATCTAGAGAGAAAGTGTTGGAGAGTAGACAATTTTGGCAATAGAACACACGACACAACTTCTACTTCTGTGTATCAACAAAGTTGGCTACCAGTTGTTGCATTGGATGAGGTGTGCTTTTACCAACTTCGTGTATTCCAACTGCTCAAACTATTTGGACTGTTAGACCAGGGAGTGGAAAAGGATTTATTCTTAAGAAAAGGTGTGTTAGCTATCAGTGAACACCCTTGAAAACACATTATTTCCATGTATACTTTACTGATCACTCCAATCGCAATTTTTTCGGCACGCAAGTTAAACTATCACATGAAAGCTATGTGAGTGAGGGTGTTTGACTATGGTCTCCCAGCGATCTCTCTCAGACGAGGACAGGAATGCGAAAGTCTTTCTTTCATTCGCCCTATGCGACCGCATATGCTGCACACTGCTTCCTTCAAATGGGCTGTAATGTATGCGCTCTCCCACCTGAATACTGTGCGGGTCGTGCAAGAAATGATGTGACACTGGTTCACGAAACAGTGTCAATTCTTCACGTGTTTGGATTCAACTTCGAATGCAAAGAGCAAATGCGAGGTTTGGAAAAACACACTCCCTAAGAGTTAATTCAATCGATCCTGACTGTGAAGCCAGTAAAGAGCAGAGAGTCAAGTACAATTTCCTACAAGTTCTTTCGGGGCAGTTTGATTTCGTAATTACGCTTTCAGTTAAGTATTCAGGCTAAAAAACTGCAAGCTACCAGCAAGTTCCTGATGGCATAAGTGTACATGGTTTACGTAAAAACAGAAAAAACCTACTAAAACACAAATATCTACTTACGGGGAAGCAGTGTTAATGGCAGTCAGGAGTTTTGAATGGCTTCTCCCTAACTGTCCCTTACCTCCTAGATGAATGCACCTTCGTACCTGCGGAAAATCTAGAGACGCTTAACAAACCGATGTGGTGAGCACACCTACCTTGGCGAGGATGTACATCACATCACGTTTTTGCGTTTTGATTTACCGAATACTTGCACGTTGAAGGCGGCGGATTTAACCTTCTCCTCTGAGGGTGCTGGCAGCCCAGCAGGCACACCACAAGCACCAGTGATAACAAATTCATGAATGATTTTCCAAGGTGTAGTGAACATTGTGAAACTGAGTTAAAGGTCGCCATCTATCGCACCAGTAGGTGTAGCATTGCAGTGCAACACAGTGGGGAGACGCGATGTTGTCATCGGTCAATGTGATTATGTTAGCTAGTCAAACGGAGAAGTTGTCGTGGATTTCATGATCAAAACTGGTGCCAAAGGTTTCCAAAGGCGCTTCTGTATTATATCAATTGCTAACCTGCCTAACATACTTTGCATGGGTTGGCCGATGCCGAACAGTAAGGGCTATAAACATGGATGTCTGGATATTAGCATCAGTGGGTCGTGGAGAATGAGGGTGGTAATGAGAATGGCGACGGAGAGCTTTCTCTTCCTCTCATCCCAACTATTGAGCAGTTCCTACCACTACAATGGAATTTATGTTGTGTGGTATGGGACATTCCACCATCCTGAAAGAATAGTACCGGTATCCAGGTCTCAGCCGTACATACTGATTGGCTTTCAGTAGCCGAGCAGTCTCGTCTGCGACCTGCCACATTCAAAGTGGTCACGGTAGCGTAGACCATTAGGTTTTCTGTGACATAAGTAAAGTGTTGTTTACTTAGCCCCAGAACCATCAAAAATTCCCAAGTGCCAATCAATTAGCGGTTACCGTAGAGTTATCTGTAGAACGGATTAAATATTGGCACTTCGGTTACATCGAAATTGCCTATGTGAGCTAAGTGGGAGAAATTCTTTGCCTCCATCTCAGTGCCTGTATCACATCGCCATTCACAGCTAGAATGCCACAGTTATCAGTATGAACATCTACAGGCGAATTGAAGTTCTATTACAAACTGACAAACTGTTTGCATTAACATGGGATAATATTTGGCCGCAGCGTCTTAGGATTCGGATGATGGAACTTTATCCATAGGGCTATTCCTTAGCGTTCTACGCATTAACCAATGCAGCTTTAATAAACATCTCATGGTACTCTGCTTAGCAAACTCGCAGAAGACCAATGTATGGATATTATTTGGGAATGGCGTAGAGCTCGTGTTGCCCGACGTATGCATCACACCTTAAAGTTGGCACTAAGTTAATTTGGAAATAGTAGCAAAATTTCGAATATACAAGAAGACGTGTGATAGGGATTATTGTGGGCAGGTGATACGACGGATTACACTTGAATGGCCATTGTCCAGCACATGCAGTTACGTGCATCGGTCGTAAGACCATGAATGCAATACATTGAAATTCAACCTTAAGAGCCTGAAAAACTGGTACGCCAAGTCTCACAATAATGCATTGCAGACGTGTTAAAATTTGAGTAAGCTTACTGACTGCGCCATTTACATGGCATATTTTATGCTGATTTCCAAAAGCTAAGTTGGCACGTCCGCAGTTGGCTGTACGCTATTTGCGATTGTGTCCAAATTTGGTAGACTACAATTTACCTGCTGACGTTCACCCTACCATCAGGGTGGCAAAATATGATCGAACCCTCCGCTAACATCTGCGACGGCTCTGAATGTGCGTCACATGGAAGGTAATTTGCCATGCAGCATTTCAGTGCATTACATTGGTGTAGCGCAACGGAGAATGGTGTACTGAGTAGACAACTAGGCTGATATCAAATGCGAAACAAAAGTCTAGTACTGCAAAGGATCACAAATGCCGTCTACTCAGTACCGTCTACCTCAGTGGTTTGCAGAGGGGCTATGACGGTGAGATCACCAAAATAAAATGGTATGCACGTCTGTGCCCCTAAACTATTACAAATAATACATAAATGTCCCATGGTATGGCAATCTCGTAAGCATTCAATGCGATTCTCTTGCAGGCAATGGATGTCGCTTATAAGCAAGGTGAATGCCAAATAACCTTCTATGAGCAATGGTTTGAGCCGACTAAACTAATAATCATAAACCGCAATCATGAAACGCCTACTCTTGTTTGCTTGAATTCACCAGTAAGAACACTCACTCACTCACTCACCCACCCACACCACCATGCCTCACCATTTCCATCCCATGCCCACACCCCTCACTCACAACATCGCACAACGCCCACTCTTGCACCAACGCATTCAGCCTGTTTCACTCTACCACTCATGTGTATCTCCATGTCACTGCCATCTTTCACGTTGTTGCTGCTGCTGCGGTGAGTGT